GGCACATTACTCCGCACTTGCCGATAAAGTTATAGTTTGATTCTGAAATAAACAATATTGTGATTAAGCAGAAAATAGAGTATTTATTTGTATCAGTGGACTAGTTTTAAATGTGCAGTCTCCGCGTTGCCCCAGTTATTACCGTGGCACAACCCTGAGAAGAGTCAAAAAGTGTTCAACCGAAGCGGGCAAATAAATAAGTCAAGTGTTCTACTGAAGCGGGAAAATAAATAAACATAAAGATAGATAGGCAACGGTCACGAGAAGTGGTGAACAACGGTTGCAAGAAGTGACGGCCGTGTGCGGTTGTAAGTTGTCATCCAATAGCATACACATTTGTAATAAAATACTGATAAACATATACAGTATAATAAATAAGTTAATTTTAGTAGTAAAAGTAATGGCAAACCTTACACAATTTGTACAGTTTTATACAAGTTGTGTGCATAAGCAAATTTTTGTGATCACAAGCAATGTTCAAATTTCCACTCATGTTAGACATGGTTGTTGCATTCTGGCACTTCGAAATTAAGTTCTATTGCTAGTTAAATTATGTAAAAAAAAACCGTTACTCTTATATTACTCATATACTATCAAACCAAATAATTTCCAAATTTCATGTTAGGTGATACATAAGTTTAGGAAATGATTATCATGTCTAGGAAACAAATCATGCTTTTTCTTATTTCTATCCAAATAAAGTGTCCTGGATTGTTATGTCTGAAACATACCACTTTGTAGTAAAAAGGGGAAATACTAGAAAATAACTTGAAGCACATTGACTGTTGAGTGCAACGGTAGATAAATAACTGTTGAGAACCTATGCATAAGCAACACATCATCAAAGGGAGAATGTTGTACTCTGTTACCCTTTACAATAACCAGAGGTGAGTGGTCACATTCACACTCCAGTCTCTGCTCTGTCCCATCAGGAACAGGGGTGTTATTAGGGATGGGGCCCAGAATCATTCTGGTTGTGGTAGTAAGGAGAAAAATCATAGTGCTCCTGCCAGATTCAGTTCATACTTTCTCATCTAGTCTGCATCATGTCATGTTACAGAATGAGAATTATCTCAACTCATTCTTGTAACAGATTTCAACACAAACACTTTTTTCGTATTTTCCCCTTGTTTCCTAAATAATTCAAATCGTGGATGAGTGTGCCTTTTGCACTAGTTGCTTATGTACACTATTAAACAGTAATTATTAAAATTTGTGTCTGAAATTTCTGCAGTTGGATTAAGTATAGACTGTGTCTGTCTTCTTTACATCTCTTACCAGTGTTGCTATCATCGTCAAAGTATGAATTATAGTATTGAACCATTAAATCAAAGAAATTAAAATAATCCTACATTTCATATATGTAATTTTCAGGATGTAAATTACTGATCATTAATCCCCTTGGTGTTAACAGGTGATGGGCTTCAATTCTAAGAATGAACTGAAGATACTGGATGACAGTTTTGAACCACTTTCTACAGCTGATGCTTGCACAGACTGTGGTTCATGTCTTCATGCAACAGTTGATCGTACAATTGCTGCAAGGCGTTTGGATTCAACAGACTCTGCTGCACAGTTTTTGCAGCCAGCATCACATTCAGTGAAGTATAATGTACAGTACCATTCAGAAGATTATCACATTTTGCTTCGATCTCCACAGAACCTGTATGTAGCTGCTCTGTTTGCAGTTCATGAAGGAACTACTAGAGACTCCTTGTTGCAATGTAAAAGAGATGAAGTGGATTTAAATGCCATAAGACAGGTAGAAGCATTTCTGTGGGCATTACATAAAGTGAATGCACAACTTCTTCATACTGTTGATGGTTTACAGTTGGGGGGTTTACTCATTGACACATGCAACTCTAAAGTTCGAACGGTGATGCTGGCTGCAGGTCTCGATGCCTTCAACAACAGAATGAAAATGGGAGGTAATGGTCACCATATTATTGCTGTGGTGAACACTCTACCTTTACAAGAGTCAAGAGCAGCAAATGAAATCTTGTCAAGAATGAATATTACATCACTTTCAACAGGCCAAGCTGCTGCAGTAATCGACTCCACTGGTAGCAAAAACCAGTATATCCTTCAGGTATATGTCTTATTAAGCTAATTAATACATTTGTGTACTTATATTATCTACCTATATTACCTACTTTTCCAAGTGGCAGCACATTAAAACACATTACATTGATTCCCAGCCAGTCCTGTCATGTGAACATTATTGTGACGATATACATATGTATACATGTATATATATGCACATATGTACATGCATTATATTTACATAATTCTTAATACTTCACTGTCTAAAAACTCCATGGAGCATAATCCTTGAAAGCCAGTAGCCACTCAGTTAGTCATGAAACATCCTGCCTTTAATGTCAAAGTTTTGGCTATAAATAAATAAATAGATGATAAAACCATGTTTTAATAAAATAATAATTGCACTGAGGTGTGATTTTCTGCATAATAGTTGTGAAGCAGCAATAGGCCTACTTAACAGCATTATGGAAACCCCCTTGAAAAACTTGCTAGCTTCCACAAGTAGTTACTGTAGGATTCTGACAATGGTGTATAACACATAGAGATATTGGGTTTTCAGACTTTATCCATTGTCCTGGTTTTAAGATAACTAAGAAAAACATGACATTTCGGAAACTGAATCTGTTTCCATCCTCAGGTAAGGGAAAACACCTCAATCACTGGACCCAGTGACCCATTGATTGAGGCTAGCTCTTTCTAAGGAATCCAACAGAATAAGTGTTTTCCCCCACCTGAGGACAGAAACAGCGATTGAGGCTAGCTCTTTCTAAGGGACTCAAAAGAATAGGGGTTTTTCCTCACTGGAGGGAAACAGACCCAGTTTCCAAAACGTCATGTTTTTCTTAGTTATCTTAAAACCAGGACTATGGATAAAGTCTGAAAACCCAATATCTCTATGTAGCTTCCACAAAATTGGCAACGTTATATCAACTGAGTCATTTCTTATCATGCCATCCATTGAACATCCCTGAATTTTTCTTGTAATATTTTTTTGTTACAAGTTTTCCATTATCTTTCTGAGAACACTATAGACATAGAATTATAAGCTTGCTTGTTTTATACCTAGCAGGATGGTAGTAATATTTCTAGACTCATATTTGTACGTGTGTGGTTTGAATCTTAGTCAGGATACTGGTTATTCTGATGAAGATCATTTGTGGTTTTCTAAAGTCCTTCCAAGTAAGTACCACAATAATAACTTGGTTAGGCCCCTACAACTTCCCTTCAAATCCTGTCCACTTCATCGTTCATCATTCATCATACAATTCAACGCTGTATATTCTAGATACTGACAGAAACATGAATTAATTAACAAACACATCTATACTTGTTTCATATGGATGTAAAGATGGTCCGTCATTCATAGGGTAGAACAGAGGTTAAAGAGCATTTGGGAAGGAACTCAAGACAATAACATTTGAACCTGAAAGGAATGAAGTAATAAGAATGGGAAGGTGCCTTGTAATTTTTACTCATGTAGTGCTGTAAGGATTATTAAATCAAGAAGTAAGAGACAAGGTGGGTCTGGAAAAAACTCTGAAACTTATATCAGATTTTGATTGGGAAGAATTTTTGGATTTCTAATTTTGGACAGGAGGATACTACTAGAATAAATCATAGATAATGTGTGAAGTGGATGGAAATAATTTCAAGTAGGGTCTAATTGAGTATATTCCATAATAAGAAGCACACAAAATACACGTGTATTTAGTTGAATGATCATCAACTGCTACAGGAAGATTTGTTGGTTTGGCTGGTTACTTCATAGTTACTTTACTGGTACTGATTTTTGCGAATTAAGCAGAACTGATTTTCTTAACTTAGGTTGAAGCCCCTCTTTCATCACTCGTAAATACCATTGTGGATGTTTTGAAGTATCTTGGATGGAACTACATTAGTGTTGTGTACTCATCTGAGGATGGTGAATTTGCTGCAGGACACAGACTATTCCAGGCTGCTGCTATCAAAAATGGAATCTGTTTGGCACTAGAGGAAGGAATAGCAGTTGACCTGAGTATGGTGAGATGACTTCCATGGAATTACCCACATCTGATAGTGTGTATAATAACATATACTGACTCTTTGCTTTTCAACTTAGTTGTCATGAAGGGCTCAGATATTACATCCATAAGCTTCCCACAGATCTGTTACTGTTTGCTTTTTTCTACTCTAAATCTTTCTTTCTATATTATCATAGCTTGGAAAAGAATACATTTATACTGGAATTTCAATAGTATATTATATTTAATCACCCTGTTGCACTCTACACGATAAATGATATAATGATATAAACTCCCTCCCAAGTGCAAACAGTATATTATGTGTCCTTGATCTTGCTCCTCTACACTACATGTTTCGGCCTCAGACGGCCATCATCAGGTGTATAACACTCACGTTGCTGTCACACTGCACCCAGCCCAAAATTTAACATTTTAAAACACTTTCCTTGTTATTATCAACATCTACTTCGTTGATATCTGTCTGGTTTGTAGAATATTTTACACACATTAATTTTGACTTTCCTGTAGCAGCACTATAAAATCTTTAGTTCTAATTTTAAAATACTTTAAAAATTTTCTCTAAATTTTAAAATTTAAAATTGTTAGGGTTACTCGCCCTATGTCTAAAGTGCTGTAGCGGCTACTTCTTGTTTCCACACTGTGTAGGTGTTATCTGTAATATACAAATATACTCGTATTATTATCTTATGTACGTAATGTTTTCTTATATTGTTATTTGTACTTACTCTATGTAATCTTCCTGTGTGCGTGCCGCTGCTATCCTTTTCTACGTGTGCTGTCTGATGTACTGTGTGTTGAGTTTTATGTTGGTGAGTGTAGGGGGGTGGGTAGTGGGGAGAGAGAGGTACCGTTAGTCTGTATAGATTTTGTGTATCGTTTTGAAATATGGTATTGTGTGTTTCTATGTGTGAATCATTCAATATAACAATATATCGCAATGAAGATAGTTTGCAATTCACAATATATAGGAAACCCACACAAACAGACATCATAATACCTAACAGTTCATGCCATCCATTCAAGCACAAATTGTCGGGTATTAATTACCTAATAAATAGACTCAACACATACCCAATAACGGAAAAAGGAAAACAAATAGAGAAGAACATTATTAAAAACGTACTACACAACAATGGATACAGCACATACACAATCAAAAGATTAAATCAGACAACACAAAAACAAAAATCAAACACACATGACAACGAACAACAACATAAAACAAAGTGGGCCATATTTACATATAGTACAAAAGAAGTAAGAAAAATTACAAAACTTTTCAAAGACACACAGATAAAAGTAGCATTCCACACACGAGACACAATAGAAAATATACTCAAACAAAAACCACAATTAGATAAATACAATAAAAGTGGCATATACCAAATGAAATGTGTATATTGCCCTTTGAAATACATTGGGCAAACGGGCAGAACATTTAACACTAGATATAAAGAACATATACATGATATTAGAAATAATGATAACAATTCCAGGTACTCAAATCACATACTAAATACAGGACATGCATATGGAACAATAACAGAGGTAATGGAAGTTGTAACAACGGGAAAGAAGGGCAGACATTTGAATACGTTAGAGAAATACCATATATATAAAATAAGTAAGGAAGGCCTACACATGAATGAAACACACATAGAAACACACAATCCCATATTTCAAACGATACACGAAATCTATACAGACTAACGGTACCTCTCTCTCTCCCCACTACCCATCCCCCCCTACACTCACCAACATAAAACTCAGCACACAGTACATCAGACAGCACACGTAGTAAAGGATAGCAGCGGCACGCACACAGGAAGACTACACAGAGTAAGTACAAATAACAATATAAGAAAACATTATGTACATAAGATAATAATACAAATATATTTGTATATTACAGATAACACCTACACAGTCTGGAAACAAGAAGTAGCCGCTACAGCACTTTAGACATAGGGCGAGTAACCCTAACAATTTTAAATTTTAAAATTTAGAGAAAATTTTTAAAGTATTTTAAAATTAGAACTAAAGATTTTATAGTGCTGCTACAGGAAAGTCAAAATTAATGTGTGTAAAATATTCTACAAACCAGACAGATATCAACGAAATATATGTTGATAATAACAAGGAAAGTGTTTTTAAAATGTTAAATTTTGGGCTGGGTGCAGTGTGACAGCAACGTGAGTGTTATACACCTGATGATGGCCTCTGAGGCCGAAACATGTAGTGTAAAGGAGCAAGCTCAAGGACACATAATATATTGTTTGCACTTGGGACGGAGTTTATATCATTATATCATTTATTCAATAGTATCCTTAGAAATAATAAACAGTCAGCTTTTGTGTACTCATGACAGGGTGACAGAATATATGAACTGGTGTTCTCTCATATTTTATATTTCTAATGCTGTTGGTATCATTCTTATAGCCCACCTAAAACCCTGTATAATATATACAAACTGTCATTTGAACATATGGAAACACTGAATAACCAGAGTAGAATGGATTTCAGAACAATCACTCCTCTGCCAGTGGGATGTTCTCTGGACTTGTGAATCTGTTGGTGGAAGCTCGTGCTAGAGGTGCTAGGGCTGTGTTGTTGTGGACTTATCCTAAACACACACAAGCTCTAATGCAACAAATTGGACAGGAAATTGCTCATGGATCACTACGTAGAGAAGACTTATTCTGGTTGATAGCAAGCCCTAATGGACAAGCTCCACAGATCCTCCACAAATTTGGAAATATTCTTGGTGGGGCACTCATTTTCAGGTAAAATGTATGTTATTGTATTGTTGTGTTTCAGCTTCTAATTCATAGTACTGATGCTTCTTTCTCACCATTGTGCATGTCTTTTTCAACTGTAGACTGCACATGAAGATTCTGAATAAGGGAACTTTACAAATTTTTAAATAGAAGCACTTGGTTAGACAACTAATTGGTATAAACAAACCGATGTATTGCTGCAGTAGTTTCAGGATTTACACAGATATGAAAAGTCATGTTACAAAAACTATCACTGCATATAAAACACTTTATAATGGATAGATAATAAATGAGCAATGGATTTGTGTGAATTATTATTTTGATGTCAGTGTGATTAGGGTAGAATATCTTGATAATCACCACAATTCTATACACATGTAGACATTATTGTACAGTTTTAATAATAAAGAATGCTGTCTTCTGGGATGTGGCACTGTGTAGATCTTGTGTGAACCGAAATTTCGGAGAAAAGTCAGTTCACA